GTATGCTTGCCAATGTGGCTAAGTGCTTATATGAGATAAAACTGTTTGAATGCCTGTGGGTGAAGGGTGGATGTCTGAATTGGAAAAACTCATTAAAATCCGTGTTTTAGCCTACTTGCGAGTAGCAAATTCCAAACGCTTTCAAAACAAACGGATATGCAATGTTTATTTCAATTAGGCAATCTAGCCTATACTTGTTTGCTGTACGCATAACATGAGTAATTCTAGGATAATAATTGGATAAAGAACACATAAAGTTTTCAAAAACGGATATCATAATTAGTAGAGGCCGGTCTTCGAACCGGGCGAGAAGGGGTGCTCATAGCTGACTTCCCCAATCGTCACCCTAGCTCCGCAGCCGAGACAACTCAGTTATGACGGACCATGTGGCCTTCGGCACCGAGTCAGGGTTTCCTAAATTTTTCCAAAATAAAATATTTAGGTAGCGACTCTGCATCTGGCAAAGCAGTCCATGTTTGGCACTTCTAAAAAAATCTGTTTTCTCAAAACGATTTGCCGGATTTGGACTCTTTGGTTCAGATTAAGAACCGTGACAATTTGAGAGTCCGAGCTGTAGTGACCCCAAATGAACGGAACGGGACTTAACCCTCCCGGGATGCTCGGGGACGTCTACACCTTCTCGTGATTTTTTCACGATTTTGGCCTCCCAATGACTTATTTTCAAGCTTAAGTGTCGAAAAAATGCATTTTTTTGACTTAGTTTTCAAATTGGGAGTCTCGTACTAGTTTCGTAAGTTTCCGCAACTTACAATGGTCCCGCCAGAGGTATTTCAGTTGTTCCTCTGACTTTCTCGCGACTGTTATATGATTTTGGCTCCCCGATGGCCTATTTTCAAGTTTAAGTGTTGGAAAAATACATTTTTTGACTTAGTTTTTAAACCGGAGTTCCGTGCTAGTTCCGTAAGTTCACACAACTTACATTGGTCCCTACCGAGGTGTTTGAGGTGTTCCCTAGGCCTTCTCATGGCTGTTACACAATTTTGGGCCCCCGATGGCCTATTTTCAAGCTTAAGTGTTGGAAAAATGCATTTTTCGACTTAATTTTCAAATCGGGAGTTCCATGCTAGTTCCATAAGTTTCCACAGCTTACATTATTGTCCCTGCCAAGATGTTTGAGGAGATCCCTGAGCCTTCTCGTGGTTGTCGCACGATTTTGGCCCCCTCAATGGCCTATTTTCAAGCTTAAGTGTTGGAGAAGTGCATTTTTTGACTTAGTTTTCAAACTGGGAGTCCTGTGCTAGTTCCTTAAGTTTTCACAACTTACATTGGCCCCTCCCAAGATTTTTGAGGTGTTCCTCAGGCCTTCTCGTGGCTGTTACACAATTTTGGCCCCTCGATGACTTATTTTCAAGCTTAGGTGTTGGAAAAATGCATTTTTCGACTTAATTTTCAAACCGGGAGTTTCATGCTAGTTCCGTAAGTTTCCACAATATACATTGTCCCTCCCGAGGTGTTTGAGGCGTTCCCTGAGCCTTCCCGTGGTTGTTACACAATTTTGGCCCCCCCGGATGGCTTATTTTCAAGCTTAAGTGTTGAAAAAGTGCATTTTCTGATTTAGTTTTTAAACCGGGAGTCCTGTGCTAGTTCTGTAAGTTTTCACAATTTATGTTGATCCCTCCCAAAATTTTTGAGGTGTTCCCCAGGCCTTCTCGTGGCTGTTACACAATTTTAGCCCCCCGATGGCCTATTTTCAAAGTGTTGGAAAAATATATTTTTCGATTTAGTTTTCAAACCGGAAATCCCGTGCTAGTTCTATAAGTTTTCACAACTTACATTGGTCCCTCCCGAGGTGTTTGATGTGTTCCCCGAGCCTTCTTGTGGCTGTTACATAATTTTGGCCTCCCGATGGCCTATTTTCAAGTTTAAGTGTTGGAAAAGTGCATTTTTTGTTTGGGATGTTCTAAATAAGTGTACTTTTTGACTTTTTTATGAAACATGGGTTAGGTTTGAAGTGATGTGGTAGAGAGGTGATATGACTTAAATAAGATGATGTGACTTAAATAGGATAGTGACTTTTTGACTTTTTGACTTTTTTACTTTTATTAAAGATGCCAAACTTGGCCTTAGTTTTCAAAGCGGGAGTCCCGTGCTAGTTTTATAAGTTTTCAAAACTTACATTGGTCCCTTCCGAGGTGTTCAGGGTGTTCCTCGGGCCTTCTCGTGGCTGTTACACGATTTTGGCCTCCCCATGACCTATTTTCAAGCTTAAGTGTTGGAAAAATACATTTTTTGACTTAGTTTTCAAATCAGGAGTCCTGTGCTAGTTCCGTAAGTTTTCACAACTTACACTGGTCCCTCCTGAGATGTTTAAGGTGTTCTCGGGCCTTCTCGTGGCTGTTACACGATTTTGGCCCCCCTCGATGGCTTATTTTCAAGCTTAAGTGTTGGAGAAGTGCATTTTTTGACTTAGTCTTCAAACCATAAGTCTCGTGCTAATTCCGTAAGTTTTCACAACTTACATTGGTCCCTCTCGAGGTGTTCAGGGTGTTTCCCGGGCCTTTTCATAGCTGCTACATGATTTTGGCCTCCCGATAACCTATTTTCAAGCTTAAGTGTTGAAAAATACATTTTTTGACTTAGTTTTCAAACCAAGAGTCCCGTGCTAATTCCGCAAGTTTCCACAACTTACATTGGTCCATCTCGAGGTGTTTGAGGTGTTCCCCAAGCCTTCTCGTTGTTGTTATATGATTTTGGCCCCCCGATGGCCTATTTTCAAGCCTAAGTGTTGAAAAAGTGCATTTTTTAACTTAGTTTTCAAACCGGGAGTCCCGTTCTAGTTCCATAAGTTTTCACAACTTACATTGATCCTGGGCCTTCTTGTGGCAGTTACACGATTTTGACCCCCCAATGGCCTATTTTCATGCTTAAGTGTTGAAAAAAATGCATCTTTTGACTTAGTTTTCAAATCCAGAGTCTCGTGCTAGTTCCGTAAATTTTCACAACTTACATTGGTCCCTCTCGAGGTGTTCGGGGTGTTCCTTGAGCCTTCTCATGGCTATTTCACGATTTTTGCTCCCGATGGCCTATTTTCAAGCCTAAGTATTGGGAAAGTGCATTTTTCAAGTCCAAAGTCCCGTGCTAGTTTCATAAGTTTTCACAACTTGCATTGGTCCCTCCCGAGGTGTTTGGACTATTCCCTGGGCCTTCTTGTGACTGTTATACGATTTTGATTCCCGATGGCCTATTTTCAATCCTAAGTTTTGAAAAAGTATATTTTCTGATAGTTTTCAAACCGGTAGTCTCGTGCTAATTCCGTAAGTTTTCACAACTTACATTAATCCCTCCCGAGGTATTAGAGGTATGCCAAATCTCTAATTGTGTTAAAAAGATTAATTTTAGCATCAGATACATTAAGTTATTTTCAGAAAACTTCACCATTACAATCCAATTAAAAATTTACCAATTTAATGGAAAATTCAAAAGATCACCGCACAATACATTTCGGCCAATCGGCCAACTGTTTGCTCGCAAAGAGAAAATTACACAAAACCTTTTCAATCTCTTAAGGAAAATAAATATTAAAAAAAAACCATGATATTTGGACCTCATTTAAATTAAACCTTTTTTCTTTTAATCAAAACAAAAGCATCTCAATTAGGATTAAAACCTGTGCCAAGCTCCCAATGCAAATGTTGACTCTCTCACTGGTCTATGTGGGGATTGAAGCATTTGAATTAGTTGTTGGATAATACCTTTTTGAACAATGTGCACCTCCACAAATCATATATAAAACTATAACAAAGAGTGTATAATAGTGGAATGGGATGTGTTCAAAAAATTTAAAATTCTATTTTAAATTTAGAAAAAGCTATTTCATTCCACTTTACAGTCTGAATCTGTAGCAGCAAATTGCCCAAGTAACAAAGTTGCTTGTCTTTGGCTCTCTAACCAGCAGGAATTGTAATTGAAATCAAAATATTATTAGGATACAAAAATTGAAGGAAAAGTAAGAGAGGGGCAACAAGCTCCAAATTATTTAGAGGCCTAGTTCGTACAATATGAATTTGTTGATTCGATTGTAGCCAACTAAGGATTGTGTAGCCAAAACTCCAAAAATAATATTACAGTAGAAAATCTATGGCCCATTGAATTAGTTTTCTTTTCTTTTATTTTTTCTTTTACTAGTTTCTTTGGCTGCTTGTTCTTTCTCTATGAACACCAAACTAGTTTCACCAAACCATTCAAGCAACATCTAGTTTTTTCACCAAACTAGTGTGTAGTTATTTAGAAAACATATCCTGAAAAAATCAAATAGTGTTTTAGTATAATAAAATGGACCATCTATAAAAATCCAGCAGCTTTTCCCACTATAAAAATACGAGGAAAACAAAGTTCTCAAATTGACTTCTTTTACTTTTATTTTTTCAAATTTTTTTCAAGTCCAAACTGTGACTTCTTAGCATCACAAGTAACAACATTTGAAGTTTTCAGCAATAACTTTTTCCGATATATCATCTTAAAGCGACAAGTAAACTTTCTTTAACAATTCTAAATATAAGAGGTCACCACATCATGTCATGGTTAAACCTCAACACACAACCAGAATTTGAAGGGGGGAAAAACACTATAATAGCAATGAAAAAGGCATCATTTAATAAGGGAAGGGATTGAAAGAGAGACATGCTCTCACTAAGTCGTGCACACTACATTTAGAACATCAATAACATAACCTTCTTCTTCTTCTTCAATTATATTATTATATATTATATGAATATAAAATGAATGAAATCTAAATTTTGGATTTTAACAGTTTGATTGGTTTAACCATACAAATCAATCCAACAGAAGTCCTATTACTGATATCCAATAGATGATTTGCATTTCTCCAATAAAACGAACCAGAAAAAAGGAAGTCCTCTTGGTTTTTTGTTTTGCTTTGTTTGTTTGTTTGTTTTTTTTTTTTTTAATTATGATATAAATCAACCAAATTTGTCAAGCATTGAATAAAAAATGATGATGAATGAGGCAAAATAATGTACCTTTGGAACATGGAAGAAAACCACCCTTTCTTCTTTCTTTTTTGTTATCTTTTTCTTTGGCTCTTCTTTGGAAATCATGTTAACAACAGTATCAGTTTTGTTCCCACCTTTGGCTCTTAGCTTATGTAGTTTATTTACATCAAAAGCACCATTGTGAGAAACCAGCAGAACAAAAGAGCAGCACAAACAAAGAAACTCACGGGAGAAACACAATCAAAACACCTATGGCACAACCTTGTTTGCTGAAGAATAACTTAGCCAAGTGAGACAACATAATTCAGCAAGAACTCAGCCAAGTGCAACAGCTAAACCCAGCCATGTATAGCAGCAAACCATCCACCTAGTCACTACTAATTAGCTATAGCAATAAATCATCCTATTCCCCTGCTACAAAATCTCACCTAATGTATATTAGATACTCTAAATCACTAACAGAGTATGATAATCTTGGTGATCCTGATATATATATATATATTTAGGAATTTCATAGTATTTTCAAAAACCAATTCCGCTACAGACCCCCAGTGAGGTGTCGCGCCCCCACTGGCCGAAACTCAAAAAAAAAAAAAAAAAAAAAAAAAAAAAAAAAAAAAGAAAGAAAACAGTTTTTTTTTGGCCCAATCACGGACTGCCACCTCACTGGGGGTCGACCCCCAGTGGGAGTCCGAAGCATTTTTTTCCAAAAACCACAAGAATCAAAGAAAATTACTAAAATTCTGAGGGAAAAAAAAAATTATACTATCAAAGAATCAAGTTCATATATATATACACACCAAATAAGCTCTTCAAAATTACTTCAAAATAAAAAATAAAAAAATCAAAGCCACAAATTGGGGAGCAATAGAGAGAGAATGAGAGTGAAAAGGAGTTACTTGAGAATAGTGAAGCTAGTGGCGCTAGTGATTGAGAGCAATGACCGCACTGTGTAGAAAAAAATTGTTAGGGTTCATAAATTAGGGGCGAGGGAGAAAGAGGGACGAACTACCTTGTTGATGAGAGCGGTAGAGAGACAGACTACCTGGTAGATGAAAGCGGCGGAACCAGTCTCGTCGTATCGTCGAAGAATGAACGGAAAGAGTAGATACTGCCATTGTCGGAGATCAATGAACGTCAATTAGATGAAATCCTCGCTAAGTAGTTGCCGATTGTCGACGTCTCTAGGTCCCCATCGATTTTCAACGTCGACACTCTCCACAGTTAACGTCGTTGCTTATCATGCCTCTCACCGTTCGTTGTCTTCAAAGTTCAAAGAGAGAGAGAGAGAGAGAGACAAGAGACAAAGATGGAGATGAGAACAAGGGTTTGATTCGGCATTCAGTTCATCAGCCGTAAACAAGAACATGAGAGAGAGAGAGAGACTGAGTGAGCGCGCGAGGGAGAAAGAGAGAGACGCTGCTGAGAAAGAGAGAGATGAGCAAGAGGAGAACAAAAGGAGGGGGGGAAATTTTGGGAAGAATTTGTTAGGATTTTTTTTTTTTTTTTTTGTGTAGACGTGGCAAATGGGCGGGTTTGAACGAATCAAAATAGGTTGGGGAACTTACTGATAAGTCTCATGTACTAAGTTCAAAACCCAGCTAATCCCAAAATAAAATACTTGTACCAATTAGTCCAATACATTTTTAATTGTTACAAAAAAATCTTTTTTTTTTTTAATTTACAGACACTGTTCACATCTTACTACCGTCGGACTTTCGTCAAACGGTCGCCGGAGACTCGTCGGAATGTTCAACATCGCCGGAGACTCGTCGGAATGTTTAAAACATGTTATGAAACTGTAAAATTTTACAGTTCTAAAAAATGTTATAAAACTGTAAAATTTTACAGTTTTAAACCATGATTCATTCCAGCACCAAAAAAAAAATTTGAAACTGCAAAATTTTACAGTTTTCACCGCCTGTAACTAAAACTCGAAAATTACTTGTTCAGAATTCGAAAATTTTCTCATTACAAATCTGTGTGATATCTGTACAAATCTGAGTCATTACAGATCTGTTTCAATGATATTATAGATCTATTTCATCATCAACAACAACAACCATAGATCAACAACTATCCCAAAAAAAATCTGTAAATAGAAAGAGAAAGAGAGAGAAATTGACAAAGATATATACACAAATCTGTTCAATCTAAGCACAGATCTGAGGATGAGCGTCTTCTTGTTCTTGTCCTTCATTGCCTTCTTGTTTGACTTTAGGACTGAGATTAGGGTTAGAGGAGGAGGCGTAAAGAGGGAAGCAAAAAGCAGAGAGAGAGGGGAAAGGACTTTTAGATGTACTCAAAATATTGTGGGATTAAATGGTGTCCACATGTTCCACATGGGACCTATGAGTAATTCCCCCAAATAGGTTTTGTATTAAAAATTTGTTTCAATTTTTGAAAATTATTTTTTGAGATTTTAATTAGTATTTTTTTTTAAACTTTTAGTGAAAATTTTTAATATTTTAATCAATTAAAAAATGATTACAATATTAAAAAAGTTCACTAAAAATTAAAAAAATAAGAATTGAAATTTGAAAAATAGTTTTCGAAAACTGAAACCAAATGAAATTGATTCAAACTCACCTATTTAATAAAAAGGTTTAAATGGGTTCGGTGGAGGTTGAATGTTAGTGGGGGCGGTGGAAGTGGAGTGATGGCAACGGTAGGGGTAAAATAAGGCAATGGTGGTGGAAGAAAAATGGTAGCGGCAGCGGCGGTGGCGGCGGCAGTAATAGTAGTGGTGGGCAGTGGCAGTGGTAGTGGTGGTGGAAGTAGTGGAGAGGTGATGGTGGTAGTGGTGGTGATGCAGTGGTGGGGGCGACGATGGTGGAGTAGCGACAGTGGTGGTAATGGTGGTGGTGAAGTAGTAGCGGTGGTGGTGTAATGGTGATGGTGATGGTGATGGTGATGGTGATGGTGGTGGTGGTGGTAAAGTGGCGGCAGTGGCAATGGTGGTAATGGTGGTGGAAGAGAGTTAGTGGCGGCAATTGTAGAGTGGTGATGGTGGTGGTGGAAGATAGGTAGTGGTAGTAGTGATAGTAGTGGTGGAGTGACAACAGTAGCGTAATAGTGGCGACAGTGGTTGTGGAGTACTGGCGATTGTGGCAATGGAAGTGGAGAAGAGGTGGTGGTGGAGTGGTGGCAGCAGTAGCGACGGTGGTAATGGATTCGTGGCGGTAGAGATGGTGGTGGTATTGGAGTGGTGGCAATGGTGGTAGAAAAATCCATTTAAATAGGCACTCATGTCTAAACTAAAGAGGGCTTTGCAAAATAGGAACTGATTTGGGCAAACAAAGCGGGCTTCTCACTTATAGCGTGAAACGACGTCGTTTTGCATAATAAAATTATAGGAGACGAAATTATTTCCTCGTAGAAAATTTTGTATAATGGTGATGAAAATTTTCATCTCTAAAATGGCGCCCAAATATTCCGCGAAAATTTTCAAGGAAGGAATTTTTTTTGTGACGAAAAATAAAATATAGAGACGAATAAAATTTTTGTCACCTATTATTATATTGATTTTAAGCATTTGGTGATGAAATTTGATTTTTCTCTCTAAAAATACTATAATTGGAGGCGAAATCTTACTTTTATCTTTAAAACATGTATATTTGAAGACTAAATTTTTTTTCATCATGCGTTTTTGTCACCAAAAACTTTTTTTGTTGTATTCGAAATTAATGTGAGGGTGTGCTTTTAATTTGGCTGAATTTGGATGCCAAAAATTTCTCTCTTTCTCATTTGGAGAATGGGGCATATATAGGTGAAGATAGCTCGGAGGGCAGTGCTAGACTTGGTAAGCAAGCCAAGAGTTGAATAGACACACTAGGATCGTATATCACCTTGCCAAAACCAGAAAATAAAAAAAAAAATTCGCCAAAAGTCCGTCTACATGAATAGGTCTACACAAGCCAATGGCATGCACAATGTCAATGTGTAGCCACAACTTATCACCATTGGAAGCATGCCACCACAAACTCACACGTGTGACCATAGGTATTAAATCTATAGGGTTGTAAATCTAGCCCGGCCCATGTCGGGTCTCGCGGGCTCCCACCAAAATTCAGACTGGGCCACGAGTCAAAAAATTAGGCCTAGACCCATAGATATTCGGGGTGTTGGGTGGGCTAGTGGGTTGGGCATCGGGTCGGGCCGATGGGCCTAGACCTAACCATTTTTAAAAAAATTTTAATCAAAATTGTATTATTTTTCACTAAAAAAGACACTGAGTCTCGGGCGGGCTGGGCCTTGAGTGGGCCTTAAACGGGTTTATGGGTCGGCTCACGAATCGGGCCAGGCGGGTCGGGCTTTAAAAGGATGGCCTAAGCCTAGGCCTAAGGACTCAGGTCTAAACGGGCCGTATAGCGATCCCGGTTGTCCCATTACTGTTCTGTTGTATTCCGGACTCGGTTCCGTGGAGTTGGTAGTTGTATCTATCTTGTTGTCATCCTTTAATTCCATTTGTTTGAGTTCTAGGATGTGTTGGGCATGTTTCAAATAGGTGGGTTAAACCTTGGTTTGAAATCTTGTTGCCGGATTTTTTTTTGGTCATTTCGCTCGAGCGGGCCTTGTTGCACTTGAACGGATATTGCACGCTCCTAGTTTTTCGTGTCCCTACAAAACTTCTGCAGGTGTGATTTTTACACTCGAGCGGGTTTCTTTACACTCGAGCGGTCGCGCTCGAGCGGGTACCATGGCGCTCGAGTGGGTAGCACTTTTTGGGTGTAAGTTCTGGGAGGAGGAAATCTACGCTCGAGCGGACTGGTTTTCGCGCTCGAGCGGTTCTTGTGTCTTGGAGCTCGAGCGGGCCTTCTTGCGCTCGAGCGTACCTAGTTTTTTGTTCTTGACGCTCGAGCGTTGTGTTCTCCGCTCGAGCGGGAATGTCTTATATCAGTTGGCAGCCGGGCATTTTAAAATCACTTTTTACATTCTCTCTCTCTCTCTCTTACTTTCTAAAAAGCTATTTTGAGAGCTCCTCTCTCTAGAAACTCCCTTCTCTCTAGGGTTTGATCTAGTTAGAGTGTCTCTCTATCCTCCGGCCTTTGTAAAAAGTGCGTTGATCATCAAGGGCTTCGTGTTGATCCGAGAATCGTAGTGTTTGGAGCATTTTCACTTTCTTCTCCTTCTCTGTTTGAACTCTAACTTCGAGGTAGGGATATCCTACTCCTTCTCATGAGTTTTGTCTTTGAGTTTTAGCATTTTGATGAGTTGGGGGTTGTTGGGTAATTTTGAGAAAGTGTGGGCCTTTGTGTAATTTTACAAAAGTTAGGGTTTTGTTTATATAAACTTATATGCATGTTTGGCATAGAGAAATGAGATCAATGTTGGTTTATTGGTGAAAATGGAACCTTAGGGTTGTGATGTTAATTATGGGAAATGCTCTAATTACATCGATAAATTAATTGGTATAATTAATTTGAAGAAAAGAAGAATTAAATTGAGAACGTTGAAATGTTGATTATATATCCATTTGGTGTATTTATTTTCAGTATAGAAATAACTGCTTTGGGCTATCGGTAGAGGATAGTCTTGATTATTGTAGACAATGCATGATGATTAGGCAAACTAAAACTAATCAATTGAGTAAGCCATTGAATATGGTAGTTGGTACAATACAGCACTCAAATGTGTATTGATTGATTTAATTTGTATATGATAATTGTTTATATACATTGTATTGTGTGGGAGGAGAAAGGGGCTGCACTCCACGGTTTATTGGAAGAAAGGGGCTGAACCTTTAAACCGAATCTTGTGACAGTGATACAGCACTACAATGTGTATCAGGCTGCGAATTAGAAGTGTTTTCTTGTGACAATGATACTGCACTACAATGTGTATCAGACTGCGAATTTGAAGTGTTTGTATTGATTTGATATAGCACTAAAATGTAAATCGTTATCAATTATAAATTATAGAAGTGTTTCTATGTTATGTTGATACAGCACCAAAATGTGTATCGCGCGTATAGTATGGACGTGACTTATATGTTATTGGTACAGCATCACAATGTGTATCCACCATGAATTTCAAAAATGTTTTAAGATGAGTCTTATTCTCATCAAGTTATTTGGCTAAGTTTTGAGCCTTGTTTTCAAACTCAAAGTTGAAAGAGAAATGAGAAATGAAATGTAACATGGACATAATGTCATGAAATCGAATGTAATATAAGTGGACGTACTTGTGTTGACTACCTATCAACTGCTAATCTTTTAGTCATTGTTCATGGCTGGTTTAGTGTATTTCTATTGGGCTGTGGCTCACCCTTTATGGGACATCATTTTCAGGTACATGTAGCATGCCACCTCCAAGGACATAGCTTGGGAGGCTAGAGGCAGACAGATTTTTTTGTGTT